AAGGAACTTTGGATATCTCTGATTCAAAATTAAGATTCAAAAAAGACATATTAAACCACAAACTCCCCTCTTCCAGATATCTAAACCTAAGGCACTAAAGACTGAGTAGACATTGCTTTAGCTTTTCCTACATGTCGTCAAAATTATTCTGGCTTGCAAATTGAGAATTTAAGTGCAACTCTCCCAGAAGCCCTGAAGTTTCTAATCCATTGAGAATGCTCAGGTGATGGCTAACTTAATTTTGATTTCTTTTTTCTAAATACTGCAAAGGCATAGTATGTAAAAGATAATGAATCACAAGGCTGCAGTTTTTAAAGAGAGCATAACAGTTTTACCTTGGATAAAAGTGTTTGGGTTTTCCTACTTTTTTCAATCTTTCCCTTTTTTCTCTTTTCTCCAGTCCTGTACTCAAACATCTTTACCAGGCTTGAGAGGGGAAACAGGACCAGTACCACATGGAAAATAACTGATGGAAGCAGGTGTTTAGGCAGGCAGACTGTTTGGGAAAGACCTGGGCTCTCATCTTTGGTTCAGGGATTATCTCTCATTTTAATCCAATTTGCTGTTTCATGTTACATGTATTAACAAGCCTAGGTATGGTAATCAGAACTGGTAATCCTGGATTAGACATAAATGTCATAACCACTAATCTACAAAGGTTTTTCTCTCTATTTCCCTCTCTCGTTAGAAGTAGAAATTTTCCAGGGTTGCCTTTTTTTTTTTTTTTTTTTTTATAATATCATAATATCAAAGCAAGCCTATAATCAGAGCCTTCTCCTGAGAAAGAAAGGGCAAGGGTGTGAATTCTCCAAGTAGAAAAGGACACTATGTTTAAATTTTCCCACTTCACAAGACCAATCTGTCATCACTACAACCTGAAAAAGCCACAACCCTTCTAAATAAAAATTAAAAGCTTTGCTTGGTTTTCTAATGACAAATGTTTAATTAATGAAGAGGTCTTTTGGGTTTCTCTCCTGTGACCCGTAGTCTTTTTTGTGTGCAGTAAAAATATCTGAGACATTTAAATTGCACTTATGAAACTGTTGAAATCTGACACCCCAAAACAGATTTTTCAAAATTAATTTTAGAGTCTTGTCTCATTCTTTTATTAGCTATAGCCCTAGCTGACTTACAGCKTGCATCACCAAGCATTACAATCAATGATCTATTACAGCCCAGAATAATGAATCCAGGGCATGTTAAAGTTCAGTCTTGTGCTATAATATCAAAATGTCACCAGGGCTGGAGATTACACGATATATTAAAATAAGAACTGGGGATAGTAACTGGAAAATGTCATTAATTCAATGAAGATGTTGATATTTTTGTGATTAAAAGAAAAAYCAATTTGATTTAGCACAATAAAAACAATGAATAATGTCTCTGTTACATTTTTTTCTCTATTTTCTTGAAATCACATTAAAACAGCCATAGATTGAACGGCTTACTGCAGTATACCTTGTTGTGATTGCTATGGATTATCATCTGCACAGTATGTCAGACATGAATCCATTTCAGAGCTCCAAGATTAAAGTGGATGGTGCTTCTCCTTCACCGCTCTGTCTTTCCTTTTTCTCACCCCTTCAAGGCATCATCAAGACTGCTTTACCGGACATGAGCAGAGAAAACAGGGAGCAGTACCAAGTGGTCATCCAGGCCAAGGACATGGGAGGMCAGATGGGAGGACTGTCAGGAACCACCACYGTGAACATCACTCTGACCGATGTCAACGACAACCCACCTCGCTTCCCCCAGAGTAYGGAGCATCTAATAATTTGTTTTTCCATGGAACCTCTCTAAAATCAGCTAGCTTGCCTTGGCCATCTGGAAGCTTTTTTTTTATCATCACTATTTTTATAGTACTGGCCCACTGCTGTGTCTGTTTATGTTACAGTACTTTTAAGGAAAATGGGAATCKCTGCCTACATCATTGTAATAGCAAATTATTTATTGTAATGACAAACTTGTTTCTCATTCTTATTCTGCTTACAAAAATATAAATTGTAACAATAATTTAGGCCAATTGCAGGGACTTTAGAGGAATTTAACTACAAAATATAAGGATCTCTTCTTGGAAACTCTTTTAGTTCCACRTGTTTAGGCAAGCAAATAGGTCACAAGTTTTCTGATGTACTGACTTGCGCAGGCAGAGTTGATCAGGTGGTAGGTTCTGCTGGCAGTCTACGCATTTGCTTTATTTGCTTGTAATCTCTGTTCACTTCTTGAATGATTTTGATAATCTAGGCCAGTTTGGCACAGTAAAGTGTTTTTAAAAAAATATCTTTGTAGAAGAAAAAAAAAGGCAAATAGCAGAAAGTTGCACAATACAGAAAGCTTCACAGTAGCACTCTACAGATATTTTTTATCCTAGGCCAGCGTTTAAATCCAATCTCAGATTGTTACAGTCAGTGTCTGATAACTGTTTGATAGGTGCAGATAGGAGAAATTTACAGCCTCAGTTTARTGCCTGCCAGAAAAATGTCCACATAATAAAATTTGAATTGCTTGTTCACACTGATGAAGGACCTGGCTCTCTTTACAGATCCACTAAGGACTGAACAAAGAGACCTGATTTAGAAAATGCTCTCCTGGACTTGAAAAGCACTTCAGTACCATGGCAATAAGTACACCCAAACAGTACAAACTGTTCAACCTAGCACAGATTTAAAAAAAAAAAAAAAAGAAAAGAAAAAAGGAAAACTCTGACAGTATGAAGAATGGATCCTTGAAAGTATAGATTAATGTTTTAATCTCTATCCATGATAATATATTGCTTTAAAAGGAGAGGAGAGGGGAGGGGAAATACTACAACCCTCATAAAGAAAAGATTATTTGAATTCACAGAGTTCACTTGATGAGAATCACCTTCACATGGCAAACTCMACAATTTTTAACCAAACTTCCTCTCTGACTTCATGAGGGGGTACTTTTTAAATATGTATAGCATGATGTAGTCTGTAACACTTTGGCAAATAGGAATTCTTGAATATAAATTATAATTTAGTGTAACACATTCTTTAGTAAGCTTCATGASTGAATAAAATAAAATAAGATAAAATAAAGAATGAAGAATGTATAGAACTGCAAAATAATATAAGGTCTCCAGTCTCCTTGGCCWGTGTTCCTTATGAAGCTCTTCTGACAAAATTAGCTTAAGCTTCACGCTTATGAAAGTCCTTCTGATTATTTCAGTAAGCTTTGGGCTTGGTACTTTATAGAGCAATTTTTTATACTTTGATACCTCAAACAATATTCTCTGTAGTGTACTACTTTGAATATCACTGGAACATATATTGCATGGCCTATAGAAGACTTCTGTGGGATTTGTCCAATGTTAAAATTCCAATTTTGCTTGTGACCATTCCCCATCATTTTCTTTCTCCTCASAGAGAGGTTTTGAGCACTTTCTGGGAAATCAAAGATAGAGAAACATCTGGAATATTTAATTTCTTCTTAGATAGTTATGAAGTGGGCCACACCTTCAGAGAACTATCTGTTCTGGAAGTTTGCTTTTTGTTAGAGCATTTGCCTTCCATTTTCCCTTATGTAAAGCAACAACAAGTGAAAACATTGCTCTAAGTGGAAGGTGAATGGCAGTTGCAAGCAACACTATTTAATATCAAGATATTTACAGCTAAAAATTAATTTCCTAATTATTAAGAATTATCTCTAGGACAGGAGAAAGTAAAATGGCACTGTGAAATACTGGTTGTTCAGACTGCATTAAGAAGAAGCATTTTCTGTTTTGTTTTGTTTCCTGAAAGAATAGCGGACAATTAGAAGACATAGGCCTAAACAGAATTTAAATGGCATCATAATGAAAACCTTACACATTTTGAGTTCTATTGCACTCTAAACCAAATAGACATCTCACATGCAGAAAATGTGTAGCATTCACAGAGCATAACAGAAGGAGGAATGCTKTCAAACAAAAAGCACTAAAGGGAGGTATTTATCTGGAAGGAGTAGTAAGTACCATGATTAAATCAGCTCTTAGAGTATTTCTAGCTYAGCTGCCAAACCCTTGAATTTGTCAAGGGTTCAAGGCCTCAGACTCATGGTTTAGCTGCAAGGAATCCTACCTTTTATCCCATTTACAGACTGGTTTGAGGAAACAATATGTATTTTTGTCTGTGTGGATCACAGTCGAGTTTTCACTTACAACTTCGAATTTGTAACAGCAATCACAATTTAGCATCAAGAATTAGCTTCCATTTTGATACACATCTAAATAAATATAGGTATTTTCAGTGACTCTCTTTTGTATTCAGTCTTTACMACTGGGGACAAAAACTCATTTTGCACTCAGAAGTTTGATATATTCCTTGTATTAAATGGAACATTCAGGACCCTTTAGGTGTCCTGAAAGGCAAAGGACATGTAAATATAGAAAATAGAGCTGTTGCAAGAAAGAGAGCTGACTGTACTTCACAACAAGTCACTATAATTTACATGTGTTTTTATAGGATTCTTTGAAWAAGGATTGTACATTTTATCTGGTGCTAATTTTGTCAGACTCTTTATGTATTTCTCCAATGCTATGACTTCACTCAGTAAAGTAATATGAATTTACATGAAAAAACAGATCAAAAGAATCAAAAGAAACATCAGATTCTGGCATGTTGTGTGCAAAATCTGAACATATCAGATTTTTTTTTTTTTTTACATTTTCTTGGTAAATAAGAGAACATACTGATTTTGATTTTTTTTTTTTTTGTTTTGCTAGTGAGGAAAGATCTTCCATGTCTGCTTCTTACTGCTCAGGAAATCCATCTGATTAATGCCTTTTCTGCTACAGCATGTCTTTAAAATTAAATTTTTATTAAAGTTTTGAGAGAAAATTTACATGGAAATTCACTTTTCATACACGCAAGAAAGAATAAAATGTAACCAGATTTCTTTCTAGAAAACCCTGATTATAAAAAMCACAAAAACAATTAAAGTGAGCATGTATCTAAATGCTCTTTACCATGACTTTTTAGAATTATTTTCAATAACAGAATACTTACTCAAATATATTTCCAAAAAATTCAGAGAAAATGATATTCTATTTTAGTCTCTTTCCAAAATCCTTACTGGTTTCTACAACTCTTGTGCTATGAGAAAACAAAACAAAATCATCYCCTATTTCTAAATATATCTAGGAAAATTTCTAGAGAATATATAGATATATACATGGTGTTAGGCAATCAAGGTAAGAACTGGTACCTTATTGTTTAGCTTCTTTGTCCCTTGGAACTGAAAAAAAAGAAAATATAAGAAAAAATGTGCTTATTAAATGGCTTTGAAGAAAAAGTTGAAATTTTTGTGACAGTTTGTCAATCAACCCTGAATCCTGTTTTAAAGTTTAGTGTGATGACTAGCGGCATTTTTCTTAAATTGTTTGGAACTTCAAGTTACTTAAAAAATCCAGGTGAAATTGAAGATGTTTTTTATTCAGAGGAAAATCCTTTCAAAAAACAATAAATGCTTGATTTTGCTCTTTCAGGCACCTACCAGTTCAGCTCTCCTGAATCTGCGCCACCCGGGACTCCTCTTGGCAGAATTAAAGCCAATGACCCCGATGTGGGAGAAAATGCAGAGATTGAGTATAGCATCTCCAATGGGGATGGATCAGACATGTTTGATATCATCACTGACAAGGACACACAGGAAGGGATTATAACTGTCAAAAAGGTTTATTTTTTCTCCCTCTCTTTTATATGTACTTAGCTCTTCAGGTGTTACAGTTATTTTTCTCTTTCCAGGGGAAGGGAGGGCAGATCTCACGAGGGGTCAGGCTGCCAAGGAGCTGTTGTATTAGTTTTGTTCTTCTCTTTCTTCAGCAGGTATCTGTTATTTTCAAGTCCCAAGGGAAATTTACTGGCATGTCACTTCACATAAAGCAATATTTCAGTGGCTGCTGTCTGTTCAATATATAGAGTCTCACACACAGTGCTTTCAAATTAGGGCTGTGAAAACCTGGAGGGGCTCAGTTCACAGTGGGSTTTATCAGCTGATTGCTGTGGTAAGACTCACAAGGGTGGGAGTCTTACCTGCAGTTTGATGAGTTTACATGTCCAAGGCTGAACTCTGCTTCTCTGATCTGTCCAACAGCCAGTTATCTCCAGTATCTAAAATCTGTCTTGGTGTAAGTCCAGTCTTGGTGATGCAGTAGTTGTTACATATGATGCCTATGGAACTCCGGAGAGCAATGACAGAAATTTAATTCAATGTATCATCTCTAAAAGATTTATTGTTCACTTTTCAGAATTCAGCCGGCTAAACTCCGAGCACTCTTTTTGATTCTAGTGTGATGAAATATATCAATGACAACTAATTGATACCTGTGCATATATATAAAATATAGATCTATATATTTGGAAACCTGTATATTTATTTATGTATATATGTGCATGTATGAATGTCTAGATACATATGCATATATGGATATATATGATGTAAATGTCACATAGATTGAAAATCAAACKTCACAATTTTTCTCTTCTCTACGGAACATGGAGGCCAGGGACAAGTCTGGGTTGCTCCTAATGCCAGACAGGCAAGAGTAGATGGTATTGGGGAATAATAAAGAAAAGATAAATACAACAGAGAATATTTGATAATTGAATAATTGCTGTTTTTACTACCAATGAGATGAAAAAAAAAAAATAGTGGGTTTTTTTACCAATGAGATGAAAAAAAAAAAATAAGGCTTTACACAGCTTCTTCTTATGGACTGAGTAAAACTTCCCCATTTCTTTTTTTTTCTTTTTTTTTATATAGGGTTTTTTTTAAAAAAAAAAAAAAAGACTCCTGTTTTTTTCAGGAAACCTGAACCATTAATAGGCAGAGGCATCAAAATTGCCTTTCTGTCCTATAATAATCCTTATTTTTTTTTAATACCTAAAATATACTCCCTCTTCCCCAAGATTTATTAAAATTTGAAGCTTTTCCTCCTAAAAATGTTTTCACTTTTGATTCAGCATTGTAAAACTTACTCACACTTTWTGTAAAGTGACATAATTTTCTTTATTATTACTATTTGCTCCTCAGCCTCTGGATTTTGAAAACAAGGTGTTATAYACCCTAAGAGTAGAAGCAACCAACACTCATCCTGATCCTCGTTTTCTTCAGCTGGGRCCATTCAAAGACACGGCTTTGGTCAAAATTTCTGTTGAAGACACTGATGAACCTCCAGTGTTCAGCAGACCCTGGTATTTAATAGAGGTAGATGAAGACGCCAAGGAAGGAAGCATTATTGGGCAYGTTGTAGCCCAAGATCCAGATACAGCAAAGAATGCAATAAAGTAAGACTTTACACAATATAAAATTCTTTTATTGAGATGTGGGTCCAGTCTCACGCAGAGAGTGATGAGAGTGCAAGGTATTAAGAGACTGTTTGAGTAATTAAGCACATGGGGGCTGTTGAAAAGTTGTTTCTCTGTTGAACAGAGAAAGTTCTAGAGGAGCTTATGAAGGTAAATACAATTAGGACAATGAGTAGCATAGGCAATGCTTTTGAAGTACAGCCTACAGGCACCAGGTGAAAACAAAGGAGACATCAGCATTTAATTGCTCTTCTAGTAGTTTTATCAAACTGTTCATGAAATTATTCTTTTACCATGTAAAACCCTCAAAATGGTGTGTTTCTATGCTCCCTGGTGATTGATAGCAGTCAACCCTCTGTACATAACATCCATGTTCCATAGCTTAATTATTCAATGATCACAGTATATTGAATAAGAAATGATTGTGAGAAAGCCATAACAATCAGAAGTAAGAGTTCAGCGCTGCAAAATTGCTGTAATTGTTACAAATCTGCTATTATTATCTGCAACAAACACAGCACTTATATTTGTGTATTTACCATCCAAGTGATTATGAAAACTGATCTCTGCATTCCTGAACAAGCCTTCTATTTCCTGCAGCAGTATGCTTCAAGGTAGGAGGTGTAAGAGGAGGAAGAGAATAAATTATTTTTAAGTAAAATATGTATATAATCTCAATTTAACCTGATAATGACTGCTAACAACTAGGCTAATTAAAAAACAGCTGTAAAACAAGTTTTTTCTTGCTGGGGAAGAACAAAGCAAAAGCAAGTATCGTAAAACAAGATTTAAAGAACTTTCATCAAAAAGAGCAACTAATTTAAAAGTTTTTCTGTTGAGTTTGATGGTCATTGTGACATCTCAAGAAYATTTTTATAGATTGAAACTTCCTTATATCTGCAATATGTTCTTTGGTGGCAGAGTTCACTAAGAAACAATTAATTTGCAAAAAACCTTACCTAAGAATGTTTTAGTTGTTATTCCAGAATTCACTTTATGAGCCAAAATGTAATTTCAAATATCAAGCTACAAACTGCATATCAAGCATAATTTGCTCTTCATCCTGCTCACTAGTCTTAAAATTGATTCTTCTTATTTGTAGCATACAGGCAGCTACAGGAAAACTTGGGTTAATTGTAAAGAAAACATTCTTGATTAAGCACAGTTAAAATGTGGAAACTTTTAGAGGTGGCTGTGAGCTAAACTGGAGACTGCAACAGGAGATAGTGATGCTCAATTGTACTGTATCTTGACAGATATTCTGTAGATCGACACACTGACCTTGACAGAATATTCAACATCTATTCAGGAAATGGATCTTTATTCATCTCAAAGCCACTTGACCGAGAAGAAACTCCTTGGCACAACATCACTGTCATAGCAACTGAAATCAGTAAGTTGAAGATAAAATTTATCTCAGARTAATATTTGAACTGAGAAAAGAATTAAATTCTACGGTATCTATGACTGATCTTGTTTCATTAGTTTTGCCCTTATCCAGATATTATCAATAGGCAAAAYATCGCTAGATGCACATGTAAAAGTTTGATTTATTTTTTTAAGATATGTTTTTCCCATTTTTTCAAAGATACTTTGGAACTCTCAGGCTCAGTAAAACTCTGTATAGTATATATTAGACAAGTTAACTCATTTCCTGAGAATTCACATCAAATAATTTGGTGCAGGTGTGATGTACTGGCTCTATCTCAAGCTAAGTCTTTAGGAAAATCCTCGGTGGGGTGAGGGGGAAATATGTACATGATATACAAATGCATTGTCAGAACCATCTCTGTAAATGGGAACAAATTATGCTTCACCTCAACTGATTTAATCTATCACTGAAAAGGGTTTTGTTTGAAGCCAAGACTAGAGGAAGTTCTTTACCTTCTGTGTCTGAAGCAAACCTGGGCTCTTTACTGTTGTGTTGGATGCTTTAGATATGGATGCCTCTTGCCTAGCTTTTATCCGGGAAACAGTTGTCAAAGGGGAAATCAGACACTGATACTAGTGAAAAATTTTTCTCCCTTCCTTCATTGTCCCTATAGAATTCCCAGTAGTCAATGTGCATAACAACCTGGGAGTTGGCTAATATGGAGAGGTGAATCATAACACCATTTTCAGAAAGATTTATATCTTTTTTCTTTTCCTCTTAAATGCTTTTCGTAGTTTGGTCTCACATGTTCGGCATTTTCAATATGTATAGAGCGAGAATCCTCTCTGGCAATAACTGGAGTTTGGAGGTTTGTGAAAAGAGATTGATGATGATACCTGCATAACTCTTTTTATTGTTTTGTTTTTTACAGTTTGGGGAGAAAGGACAACTTTGGCTTGTTTGTTTTTTTTGTTTTTTTTTTTTTTTTTTTTGGTTGGTTGGTTGGTTTGGGGTTGGGTTTTGGGGAGGTTTTTTTTTGTGGGTTTGTGATTGTGGTGTTGTTGTTGATTGACGCTGTTTTACTGTTTTACTAATTTGAAAAGGTAAATGTTCTTAACAGCTCAACCTCATGAAACGTCTTTTTAAATGAGTTATTTGCTGTAGTGCTATATAGAATACAACTCCATAACAACTCAGGGACCTGTTTTAATGCAAATCAWTTTAAATATTCTGTATATTATTTCCATATATATATCTACATATATATAAAATAACAGAAAAACTTGTTTCAATTATAAATAGGAGTTTTATGTATATGCAATGTATGTCAGCAGAAAATGAAATATAATTGTTTTAGTATAATCAAGAAAATTGAGCATTTCTAATATCTATTGGAAAAAATGTACTGGATTATTTTCACATATATCTCTTTGTGTTGTAATATAAATAATTCTCTTTTTTTTTCAGATAATCCTAAACAAAGTAGCCAGATACCTGTCTTCATACGGATTTTAGACATAAATGATCATGCACCAGAGTTTGCCAACTACTATGAAACATTTGTTTGTGAAAATGCAAAAGCAGGACAGGTAAACCAACATTTATATTACCAAAGAACTTTTAAGGAAACTATCCTGCAGTGCCATCATGAAGACTTCAACRTATCTTAGTTTGAACAGCATAAAGCTAACCAAGCCTCTTTTTTTCCTATCTTGTACAAAAAATAKGAGTTGATTCAAAAAAGGAGGAGATAAAAGATGAAGGATAATATAATAAGATATTGTATCATAGGATATGATACAAAATGATATTTTAAGGTGTTTTTCAGTTTCTAATATCAGAAAGTGTTTTTCGGAAGTAGTTGTACATAATGCTACAAAATTCTTTACGYTGTTCCATAATTCCACTTCTTTTGGATTTTTGTCATAAGCTTAGTTTGTATAGCCACACCTTCAAGTACACAAAGCAGGAAAATCTTTATTATGTGTCAGTAAAGAAGACTTGAATAACAAACATTTGCAAAAATAAAGRGCAATGCTACTGCTTCCATTGTAAGTTAAAACTCAGAACGGTATTGAGTCTGGTCAAAGTTCGTGTATATCCCTTTCTAAACTATCTTAGCAATTTTGTAAAAAAAATCGAAAAAGACAATAAAAAAAAGTTTGAAGATAAAATCAAATTTTTATTTGGATTTGAGTAAGTAAACAAACCAACAGAACTCAGAGGCAGCATATTAGAGAAATATCTTAATATTGCTGCCATTACAGCATCATCTATTTGTGCTACTGCCAGTCAGTCTTTCAGTTTTAAATTCTGGGAAGGAAGATTTCTGGAATCCTGATTTTTTAATTCTGAAAGTATTTACCAAAGAACTGGATTTAGTAGGAGATAGGGTTCTTTGAGATTACCTTTCCAGAATGGACCTAAGACCATGCATGAGTCTCTTCTCTAGACTGATTCATTTTTGACTGGAAGGAAAAACGAGCTCAATATTTTTGCTAGCACAAACCTGAGTGGCTTCCTACTCTAGGAGAAACAGGCCAGGATGAATCCCTATGCTCAGCCTAGGTCTAYCCTCATGTCTCAGTAGCTTTAGGCTGTCATCATCCAGCCAAAGCTGACTGACTTCACAGAGAGCATGTGGAAAGGGTCAGAATGTACAACATTTTGTTTTACCTCAGGCCACAGTGACTATACAATATCCAAAGACTTTACAAAGATGGATGATATGGATACACATCAGGAACCATACTCATGTTTAACCTGAGCTGCTGCCCAGTGTTTTAAGTCACAGAGGCTGCACTTGAAGAAGAATAGAAGATACTTGAGATGAGTTTAGTATTTCAGGTACTGCAAAACTCTATGCAGWGCAAGAATATGTAATTTATCAGTTGCAATTTAAGTGATTTTTTATGAATTGTTTAATAGATAAAAAAGGAAAGGAGAAAAAGAGGATGCAATAGATTGTTGCCAGACTGCATTCAATGCTCTTTATTTTTCATTCATTACACTTAATATCASAATTCAGGTAAAATGGGTTAGAATGACAGGATACTTTGATTAAAATAACTGGCCTTTGAAGAAATAATTGACAATTTTTTTATTATTTTTCAAGAAAGTTTTTCTATTTTTCATGTAAATGATATWAATAGATGAATATACATATCAAAGGCAGCGATAAATTAAATTAAAACAGTGGAAGGAATTCTAATATCAAAAAAATGAAAAAGAGCACTTTTCACAACAACTGAGTTTTAAGATCATCCTGTCTTAATCAGTGATATAAATGTCACTTAAGAACACAGTTCAAGACTTACAGGAGGCGAAACAATGCTCTAAAGTTGGCTACAATACCCATACAAGTTTAATTTATGGCTTATAAGTTGGGTTTTTTGGGTTGAMTACATTCAGATAATTCTATTCATTAATTTCAAACAGCTGCTGTAGAGCCTAAATTCTGTCTGTGTAACAACATCTCATTGCACAAGAATAAATTGAGGCAAATAAATCTTAAAATTTCAGTGTAATGACTGGTAGAAAAGTGAGTCGTATTTTAAMTCCATAACACAAAGAAAGGTTTCAAAGCCTACAAATGAAGATCTCATTGAAATTAGTCTTGTGCAATTTTGTCAACAAGCAAACACAGGTTTTGTCATATATTTGAAGAAGTTCAATCCAGGTATACTGGCTGTCAGTTTCCTAGCCCAATTTCCATCTAATTTAGCATACTTGATGAAATATCCATTAATGTATGAAATTTCATTTACTTTTCTGATAAATTCTGTGCTTTCCTAACAACAGAGATGACAGAGACCCAACAGATAGGCATGCTGTTTTTCAGACATGTCAAACATCTAGTTTACCAATGTAATTTCAGCAATTATTTTCCCTTATTGGAAAAACCCAGAAAAATACTAGAAAGACAAAGTGCCTCAAGTGTGGCAGCAGGAAAAGGAGAGGTCCATCCTGTTTTTCTATTTGTTAACAGTTGGAGCTCCCAAGAGAGGCACCTGAGTTAGTATCTGGACATTTACACATARGTGACCTAGTATTGCAGAAAGCAGACTACCTTCAGTACATGAGAGAACTTTTATTTTGCTGTTTAAAAATAGCAATGAATATAAAGATATGAACTTGAATATTTTGGCCAAGGATGCTGACTTCCAGAGGGCCTGCATTGCTCATGTCTAGCAGTCCCTGTATAACATAAGAAAGATAGAATCCTGTGTTCATTTAGTACTACTTCAATTTGTTTCAGAGAACACCTAAAGCAGCTTTTTTATTAGAATCATTATTGCTTCTTGACACAGCACACAATAGTGCTTCTATACCTGGTACCYATAGCAAAAGAGTCAGACTGAGAAGACAAATACATTTAGTTTATTTATTTATTTATTTATTTTTAACCAGGACCAGTTATTAGTCACACTGCTCTCTAAATCTCAGGTGCATCAGGAAGCAGTCAGAATGATCAAATATCATTCTCTGCCACCAAGCAACATTACTCATTCTCAGCATCAACAGATATTAGAGGCTTTGCTCACTGTGTCTTTTGGATAGCCTTAGGAGGGWCAGAGGAAAGAAAATCCTACAGTCTCTCCTCCTCTTTTGTCTCCAAACAACAATGGTATGACTGAGGAGAAACSTTTTCTCTAAAGGTTTATAAAAAATAATAAAAGGTTAATAAAATAATAAAGGTTAATAAAAAACTATGTTCATTGGGCTGAAACGCATTTGTCACCATGTGAATCTCATCCCATTGGCTACTGCACAGGTTAAAGAAAAGAAGGAAACAGCCTTCCTCTCATGCCATTTAGAAATCCCTAATCCTGGAGCTCCAGGGACTGCTGTGGGGAAGGCTTTGGTACAMGCTCTCTCATGCCCTTGTCATGGGAATTAATTGGCTCTTTTTAGGTGGATTAGGGGATGAGTCCTCTCCATGGAAACCAGGAAGATTTACTTGAGAAGGAAACTCATTTAACTGAATAAAATGTTGGTAAAAAATTTAGTTCCATCGTTTATTGCATCATTTATTGTTGGCAAAAAATTAGCTAATTTCAACACCCATCATGAAAACAACCTGAGGTCATTTTTTTTTTATCTGTTGATAATATATTCTTTCCTGCCATTTAGGGACTCTCAAGCATGAGYATGTAGAAAGTTTGTTTCCTCCTTSAGAGACCTGGCTGATTTTTCTTTTCATTTCTCTCCATACCCTCCTTTGCTTTTTAACATTGAGCAGAGATCACTTTTTCTCAAGTGTTCATTGTTAATTATTAATCATGGTTTTATATACATAGTAGCTTCACTAGGTAGACACCATTTGGCTTGTTTTAGTGGGAAACACATGCTAATTCTCTTTCAAAGTAAGAATTTAGAGTTTTATTTTGAAGTTAGAATTTTCCAACTTTTGATAAACATTCAGTCCTGCTTTAAAACTGCCAACACATTTGTGGAACAGAGCCRAGACCTGGAAACCAAACTGCTTTTCTGTACAGAACATGAAGTTTTGTTAAGTGGCAGGCATGCATGCAAGCCAGCACACGCGTGATTGAGGTTGTTTTTGCATTAGCACCTTACAGGTGCACAGCCTAGAACTGTGTCTGTACATGAGTGATTACTCAAGCCACATCAGGACAAGATGGACATCCACAGGCAGATGGATTGATTTTTAAACATTCCTATGGGCCATGTAATTAAATCTTATCCACAGTCTTCATCCCACATGTTTCCTCTGTGCTGCTAGTAATGCATTCGAGGTTAGTTAGTGATTGACCCTACCAGATCGTACAGGTGGGATAAAGAGCAAGAGGAAGAAAGGACAGGAGAATCAAAGCTGTTCTTCCACCATTCCCCCACAATATTTGCACACTATATTCTCACAATTGTCAAAAATACAAAAATAGTTTCTCTCACAGTATTTTTTCCCAGAGCTTGTTGCAAAGTACTGAGATCTTTCTGCATTCCTAGAGAAATACTTGCAGCACCAAAAAAGTTCAATAACTTTCAAGAAAGTCAGAGCTCCCAGATCCAGAATTTGTTCTGTCTCACTTCTAAAAGATGTGTTAGACAAAAACAAATTCTAACATTTCCCAGCCATTCCTTTCTCAAACTTAGAGATAATTTTTTGTCTCATCTCAGAAGCAGCTGAAAGTAGTTAAGTGATGTTTGAGACATTTCTTTATTGTGCAATAACCTGGTTTAGCTAAGAGCAAGAATGAAAGCCCAAATGAATCAAGTGGATTGAAGGTATACTCCTCTCTTCTGTTGCATATAGAAATAACAAAATTCAGCAGTTGTTATTATATCTCTACCCTAACGTCTCTCCAGTGTGCATTGTGACTGGGAGTACAATTTTTATGCTGTATGATAAYCATATTATRTTAAAAGTTCAGAMAGGCAGTCTACAAYRYCGACCATTTAAATTCCTGTGAAAGTGATGTTATTTTTCACCATTTATAGTAAACTTTGAAAGAAGGAATTTTGGAAAAAATAAAAAAGGTTTAGAAATAAAATAGAAGCTATCAATATGTTACTGATTTGAAAAGAAGTAACAGTAGAATTCTTTACAGGCATTCTRTTTGTCTCAGGTTTTGTTTTATTAATATAAATATTTTATCTGAAAATGCCTTGTATCTATCCACTCATGGGCCTCACCTTGCTCATCTTTCTCCAAGGAACTTTTCAAGAATCTGTCTGAAGCATGTGGCTGTATTTTTAAAGAGTATACCCTGGAGCMAAGGTGCAATTTCTGTTTATTTGCATGACAGGTCAAGACAGCATATAGTGAAAAGCCCATCTCAAAAGCAGCCAGCTGGTGCTCACCTCTGTGCTGGTAAAGCTTAACATTTGCTTTCATGGTTCCTATATTCCTTTTAAAGGCATTCCCAAGGCTGAGCCTGTGACCAAAGCCTTCTACTTGTGCAGCTCTCTGTGTATACAAATGCAGCCTCAGGAACACTAAAGGCATGCTCTGAAGTGCACAGGGACCCTTCCTATTTCAGAATTCCCCCACCTCATTTTCACTTGCTTGGTGTCTTTAAAACAACTTGAAGAACACTGAAGGTCAGTCATTGCCTGAGGATGTATGAGATACACATAAGGAATCTGTTTCTAGGCARTCCATTCAACCCCAACCRCGTTTTCAGACATGAGTATGAATARCKATAARATAGCCCAAASATAAACTAGGATCATAATTTTGACTGTGGTGTAAGTCTGAGTCTTAAAATCACAGCATYCAGGAGAAAAAACAAACAACAAACAAGAAACAGGATTACAATCAAACCACTTCCAAGCTTGAAAAAAATATTTCAGAAATAGGTCCAAAGCCTTTAACAGAATCTCTGTCTTCATTATGAAAAAAAGATAAATAGAATCATGGGATCACAATGATTTGGAYTGAAAAGGACCTTAAAGATCAYCTAGTTCCAAGCCCTTTGGCCRTGGCCAGGAATGTGACCCACTAAACTAGTTGGGTTGCTCAGGGCTCCATCCARCCTGGCTTGGARCACTTCCAGGGATGGACCATTCACAATGYCTTTGGGCAACTTCTTTTATGCCTCATTGTCCTTTCAGTGGAGAATTCATTTATAACATATAATCTATGCCTCTCCTCTTKTAATTAAAACCATTACCCCCWGTCCTGTCAGTGTAAGAAGTCAATCTCCCTCAGTGTAAGAAGTCAATCTCCCTCTCTTGTATAAGCCCTTTTAAAGTACTGGAGGACAATAAGAGCTCTCCAAAGTCTTCTTTGCTCCGTGCTGAACAACCTTTCACAGCCTGACTTTATAGGAGAGGTGCTCCAGATCCCTAATCATCTTATTTTCCCTACTCTGGACTTGCTGAAACAGATTCACACTTCTGTTGTGCTGAGGACCCCAGAGMTGACTGCAGAACTCCATGTGGGATCTCACAAGGGAAGAGAAGAGCAGCAGAATCACATCCCTTGACCTGCCGGCCACTCCTCTTTTGATGCAGTCCAGGACACAGCTGGCCTTCTGGCCTTGGAGTGATTCATGGCCAGCTTTTTGTCCACTAGAACCCCCAAGTTCTTCCTCTGCAAGGCTGCTCTCAGTGAATTCTTCTCCCAGTCTGCACTTGCATCTAGGATTGCCCCTACCCAGCTGCAGGACCTTGCACTTGGACTTGTTGAACTTCATGATATTCTCATAGGCCTGCTCTCAAGCTTTCCCAGGCTTCTCCAGATGGGATCACTTCTTTCTCATGTGTCAACTGCACCACTCACCTTCATGTCATCTGCAAACTTGCTGAGGGTGCATTTGATCTCTATGTCATTGATAAAGACATTGAAGAACATTTTTCTCAAGACACCAGTCATTGTCAGAGCACAGGTAAACAGCACAGCTGAGGAGCACTGGTCCCAAGATCTTCAAGAAATGTTTCTGTTGTGAATAACTCTTCACTCACTATTCATTTAACATTGTCAAACTGCTACAAACACCTTGCTCTGAATGTAAAAGAGAAAACATCATGTCAATGTTTATGTTTAAATTTTTATTACCTTCAGAGAAAAGTGACTCCCAAAAATTTGAATTCACCCATTAGGATTCACTCAAGACTATGACAGTTTTTTTTTCAAACATGAGAAGTGCACATGCACATGCATAGGCAGCCCTAGTGACAATAATTCTGTATTTTCTAAACTGTGCTCATTCATGTGGGAAACTACAAAAGAAAAAGAAAAAAAAAAAAAGGAATGGGATTCTTTTTGTCTTCTCCAAGCCTGATRTGCTTGAAATATATTTGAATAAAAGTAATTTTCTTGAAATTACTCTTCCATCATAAATCTTACAACATCAGTGATCTTGCTCTGAGGTCCTGGTGAAGACTGATCATAAGTTAATGTCCATAAGTGCATCAAACCAGATGAATATATTTCCAAAATGAAATTACAAAAGACACACAAAAGAGCATTTTTATCCCCTTCAAATGTGATACTTAAAAATAGCCAGATAACTTTCATTTCTGTGGTGATTATCATTGACATCATTGTCTTTTATTTACAGCTGTATAACTGAAAAAAACAAAACCCTTAATTAGATAAGATTTCTAATTTCCTTTCACCTGTTCATCATTTGGAACAATTCACCTGCAATCATGGTTTCTCATTGTTCTTTAATCTCCCATTTTTTCTGGCTGGCGAACACTGTTTCTCAATTTATGCTGCCAATAGTTAGACCAGGTAATAAGACTGGGTTTTTTTCTTCTTCTTCAGCCTTACCCTCAACAATAATTTTTCATTGTAATTAGATTCCTCTATGCCTGGTACAATTGTGCTACTACATGTGATTTGCACATGAAGGGACTCAAATCTAACAAACACCCAACTGATTACATCTCAAAAAGCCCCAAGATACTCAAATACAAYTTTTGTAGTTATTACATCAGGGTAATTTCTCCTTGAGCTTTCAGCAAGTAATTGTAAACTGCACAAATATTGTCACTTACTCTGCTCTCTTCGTCCTGGTACTTTTCCATTTTTTCTGTCTTTTCAAACTTGTGCTAATGTGAAAGGAAATTTTTGTCATTTAAATTTGGTATCTTAGCCCCCTCAGAATGTTGATACTGTGGAAATCCAAAATGAAACCCCATCCTGGTCTTGCTTTCTATACTAACATTCTCAGATCAMAAGAAAGACAAAAGCAGTAGGATATCAGAAAATTGTTGACATAAAAAGACATTTAGAAATATATTAAACAGGCTCTTTCACTATATTTGACTAATATTGTGAAACAGTTAAAAATAAAATTTAAAAAAAAATCCAAAGAGCACTGACTGTTAAATGCTTTAATAATGTAGTTATTCTAATTAGACTTAGAAAAACTGCATAATCCTGCTCTCAACATAGTCACATCCATTTGTGAAAGGCTGATGTTCATAAATTAACTTTCAAATAAATACCTCAATA